AAAAAAAAAAAAAAAAAAGGAATGAGCGTGACTGTGAATCTACTTTCATTGCTCTTGTCTTCATCAATAAATTATAAGATGTTGATATGGCTCATATATTGACAAAGGAAGGAGGCAGGCTGATGCCTGCGAGTGGAGCGAGCTTAGCGAGGGAGCGGAGCGTCCGAGTGGAGCGAGGGAAGCGGAGCGTCCGAGTGGAGCGAGGGAAGCGGAGCGTCCGAGTGGAGCGAGGGAAGCGGAGCGTCCGAGCGGAGTGAGTGGAACGAGCATAAGATCAATACACCTTGTAAATCTTGTGTTGTTTATTTTCTCGTCTTTAATTCGTATTGTCATCGTTTCACAACATGATTCAATAATTTGTCAATTTCATCAATTTTGGTCTCTTTTTATCCGCACCTTGGATAAAAAATTGGCATGGCGTGACATGGCTTGNATATACATTCCCACTCTCCCCTTAACACTCTCCATTCCATTTATACCTCAAACTCCTCTCTCTCCCTCTCTTCGCACACAAACTACTCCTTCCCAAGACATTACCCCCATTTTCTTGATTTCAAATACATTCACATTTCTCGCACATCAACTCATGGCCGCTTCCGGGTTTGAGGGGTTCGAGTAGCGGCTTGAGCTGCACTTCTCTCCATCCTCCGGAATCGGCCTCCGCCGTCTCGACTTCCCCTCCGGAAGGTAAATGTGATGCCGTCCGAATCTCGGTACAGGTGGCACTTTTTCGCGGCTGCGGACGAGGGGGGGCTTAAGTCGGACGATCTATACACGGTTGAGATCTGCATGACGGGCCTGGACTGGGCCCGGGCCCGGAAATTCTTCTGCGGGCCGGACAATAGTGGCGACTCGGCTGGAAGGGAGATGACGGGGATTGGGAACGTTGTCTCGCCCGCGCTCGTCTGCGACTACGCGTTCGACCCGTGTGGGTACTCTATGAATGGAGTGTCGGAGGACCGCTACTCGACGGTGCATGTGACTTCCCGAGGATGGGTTCAGCTACGCGAGCTTTGAGTGCGTGGGGTCCGAATATGATTGCCACGAGGAGGGTATTTTTGGGATTTTGAGAAAGGTGGTCGGGATTTTCTGACCGGCAGAGATGTCGGTGTCGACCTCCGGGTTTAAGGAGTGCGAGGGGGTGGCGAAGGCGGTGGGACCATGATGGCGACGAGATCGCCCTTGCTTATTTGGCTAAATACGATCCTATCAGACTCTAGAATATTATTATTTGTTGCTTTATTTCCTTATTTCCTTTATTTTTGCTTTTATTAATTAGCAGCATATTATCTTTTAGTTAACAGGCTAGGTATCTAGTTTTGTGTAGGACTCTATTTATTATGGGATCTGGGCAAATTAGCTACAGACGACAATGAATAAAACTTATTAAATTTGAGAATTCTCTTCTCGTTCCCTATCGTTGAGCTGCGCTACATCATCTGGTACTCAGAGTCACGCACGTTCCTGATGCCGCCAAAAGCTATCGCTGACGAGCGCCGCGACGCTGCAATCGCGTCGTTAACCCGTCAATCCGAGGGTTTCGACAGACAATTTCAGGTGATTGGGCGCGACGTACAGGATCTCATGGCGGGGATGACAGACTTGCGTGTGGCAATCCAGACAATGATGGATCGTGACCAGACGAATCGCGGCGGTCTCGGGAGGCGAGGCGGCGGTCTCGGAGGGTTTCGGGGGCGCGGGGGTCGCGGCCCGGTGGTGGGTGGTGGCAGACGGTCGCCGTCGCAAGGTGATGATGGTGATTCGGACGCCACGGAGGAGGATGTTAATCCGTTTGGGGCGGAGCACGCACCGGCGGAGGAGAAGACTGATGGTGATCGGCGTTGGGAGGGTTCCTTTCGAGTTGAAATTCCAGAGTTCAGCGGCGGCCTGGATGGTGCGGCATTTCTCGATTGGCTTGCGGCGGTCGAGTCGGTCCTCGAGTTCAAGGAGTACCAGACGATCGGAGAGTAGGGCTCGTGGCGACACGCTTGAGGGATCGCGCCGCTGCCTGGTGGCAGCACATGAAGGAGTCTCGTCGTCGGCTCGGAAAGCCAAAAATCTCATCTTGGTTGAAATTACGAAAGCATATTGAACGTGAGTTTCTTCCTTTCAATTTTGTTCGCATTATGTACCAGCAATTACAAAATTTACGTCAAGGGACTCACTCGGTGGATGAATATACGAACGACTTTTATCGCCTCCTTACCTGTGTGGACAGTCGCGAGACAAATGATCAAATGGTCTCTCGTTACATTGGGGGTCTACGCGTATCTATACGTGATACATTGAACTTGTTCTCACCGGTCACTATATCAGACGCCCATCAACGGGCGTTGCTCATTGAACAACAACAATCCCGCCGGTCGGCATCTACGACCTTCCCACAGCAATGCATGGGGTCTGTCCCTTTGGCATCTGCAGGTTCGGGCCGTCCAACGGGCTGGAGCGGGCCGCATTCTGGGCGTGGGAGTGCGCCTGGCCTGGGTGATTTTTCGGCTACAGGCGGTTCGTCGGGGACTTTGGGGACGGGCCAACAGGTTGCCGCGGCTGGCTTCCGGTCGTGCGGCGGCTTACGGTGCTTTACGTGCTGGGAGGTTGGCCATCGTCAATCGTCCTGCCCCCACAGGACCAGCTCTCGTACGCTCATGGCAGACGGAGGGACAGAGGGCAACGATGGAGTTGTTTATGATACACCCCCACTTTTTGACGAGGAGCCCGAGCCGGTCGAGGAGCACCTTTCGGGCGATGTGGGACTTGCTTTGGTTCTTCGACGTTCGTATTTGTTGCTGAAGACTGTGTCGGAGGATGCATTGCAACGCCATCACATTTTTTAATCCACCTGCCCGGTTGGGGGCCGGATTTGCCGTTTTATTATCGACTCTGGCTCATGTGAAAATGTGGTCGCACAGGACACCGTCGAGCGGCTTCGTTTATCGACAGAGCCGCATCCTCATCCGTATACTTTAGCGTGGATTCAACGTGGCAACGCTATTACTGTGGATCGCCGGGTGTTAGTTCATTTTTCGATTGGGCCCAAGTATCACGACGAGGTGTGGTGCGATGTTGTGCCCATGGACGCCTGTGACCTTTTATTGGGGCGCCCGTGGCAGTTTGATAGGTCAGTGGCTCACGATGGACGTCTTAATACGTATAGCTTTCTGTATGAGGGGGTTCGACTTGTGCTCCATCCATCTCTGCCTCGACCATTGCCTATCGCTCAACCTTCCCAGGTATTATTCTCATCTCGAGCTGCTTTTGTCCGGGTTATGCGTGAGGAGCCATTTGTGTTGCTTTTATTGGGTGCCCGCGTTGAGGCGGATCAGTCACCTCCGCCTATTATTCAGCCGTTATTGGAGGAATTCAGTGATGTTTTTCCGGAGGATCTCCCGTCCGGTCTTCCTCCCCTTCGTGACATTCAGCACCAAATTGACTTGGTGCCCGGGGCGGCCTTGCCCAATCGCCCACGCTACCGCATGAGTCCGGCGGAACACGAAGAATTGCGACGCCAAGTTGAGGAGCTATTGCAGCGTGGTGTCGTCCAACGAAGTTTGAGCCCATGCGCCGTTCCTGCATTGCTTATTCCAAAGAAGGATAATTCTTGGCGAATGTGCGTTGACAGTCGAGCGGTTAACAAAATTACGGTTCGTTACCGATTCCCGATTCCTCGCTTGGATGATTTACTTGATCAGCTGCATGGCGCATCCGTCTTCACCAAGCTGGACCTCCGTAGCGGGTACCATCAGATCCGCATTCGGCCAGGTGATGAGTGGAAGACGGCATTTAAGATACGGGAGGGTTTGTTCGAGTGGCTGGTCATGCCCTTTGGCCTGTCGAATGCACCGAGTACTTTCATGAGGGTGATGAACCAGGCCCTACGCGATCTCATTGGCCAGTGTGTCGTCGTTTATTTCGACGACATTCTTATTTATAGTCGCACAGTGGAGGAGCACTTGACTCATGTTCGCTCGGTTCTTCTGATTTTACGTGCCGAGTCCTTTTATGCAGCACCTCGGAAGTGCTTCTTTGTGGTCCCATCGGTTCTCTTCTTGGGATTTCTTATTTCAGCTGAGGGCATTCGCGTCGATGACGGGAAGGTGGCTGCCATTCGCTAGTGGCCGACGCCGACTTCTTTTACGGAGGCTCGCAGCTTCCACGGTCTTGCCTCTTTCTACCGTCGCTTCATTGCTCATTTCAGTTCCGTTGCTGCACCCATTACCGACTGTCTCACTGGCAAAACCTTTGTCTGGACGCCTGCAGCCGCCGCGGCGTTTGTTCTTCTTAAAACAAAACTCACGTCCGCGCCGGTCTTAGTTTTACCCGACTTCTCTCGCCCTTTCGAGCTTTCTTGTGATGCCTCGAAGGTGGGTATTGGGGCTGTGTTGAGTCAGGAGGGTCGGCCCGTTGCGTTCTTCAGTGAAAAGTTGTCCGGACCTCGCTTACGGTACAGCACATATGATGTCGAGTTTTATGCTGTGTTCCGTGCAGTCCACTACTGGCGTCATTATCTCTTTCAGCGCGAGTTCGTCTTTTTCACCGATCACGAGGCCTTACGGCATCTCTCGTCTCAAGGTAATATTTCTGTCCGTCACGCCACTTGGACATCTTATTTGCAACAGTTTACATTTGTCTTGAAGCATCGCTCGGGTGCTTCAAACCGCGTGGCGGATGCGTTGAGCCGTCGTTCGTTGTTACTGACGGATATGCGGGTTTCCGTCGTCGGCTTTGATTTGTTGCGTGATTTATACGAGACGGATCCTTTCTTTGGGTCTATTATTGCTCGACTTTCGTCGGGCCCTTTTGAGGATTATGCTCTGACTGATGGCTTCTTGTTCCGGGGCTTACGACTTTGCGTTCCCGGGTGTAGCCTTCGACTGAAGGTCATTGCGGATCTTCATGGCGTTGGTCATGTCGGGCGTGATCGCTCTGTTGACTTGGTGCGACGCTCGTTTTTCTGGCCCTCTCTGCGACGGGACGTGTCCCGCTTTGTCGAGCGATGTCGGATTTGTCAGGTCTCCAAGGGCGTGGCGTCCAACGCCGGGCTTTATCGGCCCCTACCGATTCCTTCCCGTCCATGGTGTGCCATCAGTATGGATTTTGTTGTGGGGCTGCCACGTACTCAGCGGGGTCATGACTCCATCTTCGTTGTCGTCGACCGTTTCTCAAAAATGGTTCATTTCATCCCATGCAAACGAACTGCTGATGCCGTCCACGTGGCTCAACTATTCTTTCGCGAGGTTTATCGTCTGCATGGCCTTCCCTCTTCTATCGTTTCCGACCGCGATACCCAGTTCCTTAGCTACTTTTGGCGTAGTCTGTGGCGACTTGCCAACACACGATTGGACTTCAGTAGCGCGTATCACCCACAGACGGACGGCCAGGCCGAGGTCGTCAATCGCTCGCTCGGTAACTTGTTGAGGTGTTTGGTTGGCGAGAACTTGCGCAGCTGGGACCTGCGCCTTAGTCAGGCTGAGTTCGCACACAACTCGGCCCTCAGTCGAGCCACTGGGTTCTCCCCTTTCGAGGTTGTGTATGCTGTTCGCCCCCGCGGGGCAGCCGAGTTGTTGAGCCTGCCGGCGGACGTGGCGACTGACCGTCGCGCCACGGACATGATGGCCGAATTACAGCGCATCCACGAGTCTGCCCGTGCCCGTTTGGAGGACGTGACAGCGGCTTACAAGCTCCGTGCGGATGCTCGGCGACGGCATGTTGAGTTTGACATTGGTGACTTTGTGTGGGCAGTTCTCACGAAGGATCGCTTTCCGGCTCACGAACACAACAAGCTGTCGGCCCGCAAGATCGGCCCGGTCGAGATCATTGAGAAGGTCAACCCGAATGCGTATCGCCTGCGTCTTCCGTCTCACGTTCGCACTTCGGACATTTTCAATGTCAAGCACCTTGTTCCTTTTCGCGCGGCGACAATTCTGAAGACGACGAGATCGATCCGGATTCGAGGGCGAATCCTCCTCAACCGGGGGAGAATGATGGCGACGAGATCGCCCTTGCTTATTTGGCTAAAT